TCTCCAAGTTCTTTTTTTTTATTATTCATTGTATTTTCACCTTTAATTTTTCTATTCTTTTATGAAGAAGATTTTTCGTTTGTATTTCGTATCTTCAATTTTTTTGTATATTTCTTCGCTTTTTTCTGAATCTCTCCGTGGTAAAGAGCATTAAAAAAATCTTTTAAAATCATTTTCTTGTTTGACGATATTTATGTTTAATGAGTTTGATTAAAAAGGCTGAGTATAAACTTTTTGTTTTAAATATAATTTGAAATTAGTATATATTATTTTATAAAATTATATTATTTTATAAAAACTATTTTTATTTTACGCCTGTAATGTCTTCTTTTTTGATGGTTTGAATTTTGTAGTTTTGTAACAATTTTTGTAACGTTTTTATCCCACCTGACGATGTTGACCGCGATATGTCAGCGAAATAATGTAAATATATATTAATATCAAAATATATTTAAAACAAAAAGTTTATACGCAAACTTAAAAATCAACCTCATCAAACATAAATATCGTATAACAAAAAAATGATTTTAAAAGATATATATATATATATATATATATATATATATATATATATATATATATATATATATATATATATATATATATATATATATATATATATATATATATATATATATATATATATCATAACACCAATATAACCCTTTTACAGCCATTAAAAAAAAGTTAGTTTTTAAACTTATTTTTTGAAGGAATCTGAACAACAAATACTTTTGATTCCAAAGTTGATACAGTACGATGAAAAATTGAAAAAAGTTCTTAAAAACACTTAAAATTGTGTGTTTTTTAATTCAAAATATTTTTCTGTCTCTTTTTTGAAAATTTTTTATATCTGATATAGGTATAGGTTTGGTGTAGATTTTTATTAAAATATATATTAATAAAAACGGCTACGACAACGGCTAATTAAAAAATCGTAATGTCTGGATGGATAAAAGGAAAAAACAACAACAATATATTTTAAAACAAAACTTCTGCAGAAAGAGCCAGGATGCGAGTCTCTCTTAATGAGAATTTATATAAAACATGTTATTATGGCTTTTAAACGCCCGAAACATTCCTGACCATTTTCAAAGTTAAAACTTTGCATTTTGCAAAATAAAATGGGTGTAACAACTTCTAAACATCCAACATGTGGTTAGATAGGTAGAAAAAAATGAATAATTCTTTGTTTAAAACAATATCAGGTTTATCATATTGTTAAACTTTGATACATATTTTTTAAATCTCTAAAACAGAAGTGATTAAAATTTCTGTTGATATTATAATGGTTTTATATTGGTATTATATTGGTATTATAATGGTTTTTTTCCTTTTACTTTAAATCACCAATTACTTTATATTTTCTTTGATTTAGATTTGCTTTAGATACTTTTGCTTTAGATTACCAATGATATTCTTGGCGACGACTTCTTGGAGGGAAACCACTTTGCCGATAATATTGTCTCATTACCACTCTGATGATATATTCAATGCAGATTGTTTGAATAGATCATTAGAGTGGTAAATTTGAATAAAAGTGTATAATTAAAGGTTGGTAAATGAAAATAAAACATAATTAGGACCGTTTGCTCTTTTGCGCGGCAATTTTCACTGGACTTAAAGAACTACTTTTTTTTTGGTTTCCTCAAAGACTCTGTGAGGAAAAAAATTTAATATTTTTTTTGTTTTGTTTATTAGCTAAATTTAGCATTGCGCAATTTATGGATGATCCCTTATATATTAATATAAGAGAATGCTACAGGAAGTTCGAATCAGAAGACCGTAAGATAGTATTGGTTATTGATAATTGCACTGCATATCTGATTATTGAGAATCCTAAATTGATATTAATCTACTTTCTTCCCCCCAAAAAACGTTTTGTTTGCAGCTTATGGATCAAGGAATTATTTGATCGTTGAAGTGCAAGTGGCGAACTAAAGTGCCGGATTCATTTAATTAACAAGATCATAAATGCTATTGACAATGAAAAACAAATGCATTCAATCTCTATCCTTAATGCTATGAAAATGTTCATTTTCGAAATGAAGTTTCAGAAAGCATTATTATTAACTGCATCTGCAAAGAGATGTTAAGGACGTAGAAGATGAATACTACATTAAAAGGTTCAATATATCAGTTACGTCATCTACGAAATTAGTTCAGAATGACTTTACTTAAGAAGATATATTAACGATTGATGATGCTGTTTCGGCAATGGGAATTTTTTTTTTTCTGATTATATAATATATTAAGTTTTAACAGAGAGCTACATTAATATTAAAAAATAAAATTTTAATCTTCTCGTTTTAAATAGTATACAATATACAATATAAACAGAAAGGGGCATGAATGATAAGACTATTACCTCAACTTTTTCATAGAGTCCTTCGACAACATATTTTTTTAATATTATATTTCATATAGCACCTTTTGTTTTTTGATATAATAGGATTTTATCACAGGAAAAAGATCCTCTATTGCAGAGGATATTTTTGTTTCTATTAAACCTATATGGTTTTTCCATTATAAATGTTCATCAGTAAAATTCCTATAAACTTTAGATAATTTTCATTAAGTATTTCTTTTTTTATTGATAAACAATTTTGGTAACTTTAATGGAATGTTAACAACCTGTCTTGTTTTATAAAACAGAGAAAAATTGGTTTTTCACAATTCAAAGACAGTTTATTGGCCCTAAACCATAGATTAAAACTTTCGGATTTAAATTTTTTTTTAATTTCCAAATCTGCTTTGATAGCTCAGTGTGATTTTTATACTTAAAAATATAAAATGATTTTTTATGTTTGATATATCTAATTTTAAATGGTGCATTGCTTATACCGATGCAGAATTTTTTTAACTGATATAAATGTGAGTAGGATCATGGAGTTAACACTAACTTGGTATATGATGTTTTTTGTTAAGCATTTGTTTGATAAAGGGCAGGTACTTTTATTAATGTAGTTGCGATTGTTCTTAAGAGAAATTTTTTTTAAGTTTTTTAGGTACTCTAAGAAGTCCTGACAGTCTTATCACAAAGCACCACTTATCAAAAAAATCAAAATCGTATATACTATAAAAACTATAAATAAGCAAACTCTGAAAGTAGTGATAAAATTTAGCTTTTGTATATTTAAGAGCCTTCGAATAAAATTTGTTTTTTTAAAGTTGTCAAATTATAAAATAATCTTTTTAAAACTTGAATTAAACGATTTTGTTTCATAATTTTATTGCAAAATAGAAAACTATTTTTCTTAATTTTTGATGTTAAATTTGTGATACGGTGATTTGTTATTGCGTTGCGTTTTTTGAATATTAAATTTGTAACATTGTGATGTGTAATTGGGAAGTTAAATTTGTAATACTGCGATGTTTTGATTGGAATCTATATAGTGACCGAGCTTAAGAGTTAGCATTGAAAGTTCGGTCAAGCTAGCTGTTCTCATTTAAAGCAAAACATCAAATTCTACTTTTTGTTTTTATTACTTAATTTTTACAAAATGGATTAACGATATAGTTTTATGTATAATTTAAACAAAAAAAAACTTTTATTTATGCCTAAAATATGAATGTTCAAAGCTTAAGTAACCGAACCTAGGGTATATATAACAAGGTATCAATTTGAAATTGCCGTGTGGTGTATGTAGCCCGAACGAAGAAAATAATTGTTGCAAGCTACTTTTTTCCTCTAGATCTTAATTTAAAAAACATTACATTTTCATATTTTTAAGATTAAAAAAGATTATGAAAATATTTCTAAATTGAATTGGTTTAATACCCAAAAATTTTATAATGGATATACTTTAAATGTCTTTTGATAAATGGGATATATTTAATAATATAATAAAAAATTATAAAAAAACACTGTATGCTTTATGAAAGCGTACAATATTGTTATTTAACCTATATACTTTGGCACACTTTATTTTTTTTTTTTTTAGTTTTATGAAGACCGTGTTTTTGTCGCTTGACTATACTTTTTTGGGAAACGTTAAATCCAATCCGTCAAAGTGCTGTTTGAACAGTTTTTAAAAATTCTAGACCCGATTACGGCATTTACAATGTGATATAAATGTTATCAAATTGATATTAAACGAAAATATTATTAATAACAACATGATTAATAATAAATATTAAATACAAATGTTATTAAATGTTATTGAAAATCTCAGAGTTTCTTTTATTTTAAACTTAAAACTATATTTCCGTTGGAGATCGCATCGGTCAGTAAAATTTAGATTGCACTTTGAAGGATTGGATTTAGTGTTTTCCTACTTTTTTGTTTGAAATTTTACCGGTTATTTAGAGCATAAATATATCGCTCAATCAAAAATCCTTTTGTTATTAAAAAAGAATTGACTCCATTTATTTACATGTTATTCAATTTATCAAATTTAAAGAATTAAATTGATAGTACAAGCTGTCAGAATTATTGTTATTATTCTTATTATTATTATTTTTATTGTTATTAATATTACAATAATATATATATATATATATATATATATATATATATATATATATATATATATATATATATATATATATATATATATATATATATATATATATATATATATATATATATATATATATATATATATATATATGTATATATATATATATATATATATAATATAATATACTATATATATATATATATATATATATATATATATATATATATATATATATATATATATATAATATAATATAATATAATATAATATAATATAATATAATATAATATATATATATATATATATATATATATATATATATATATATATATATATATATATATATTTTAATTTCTGTATAATTTTTTTTTATTTTGAAATTTTTGCTATAAATGAAAACAATGTCTAACACAACAACAATATAGTATAATGTTTACTTTTTTGGGAGATTATAAAAAATCCCCCAAAAATCAGTGTACAAAATAAAAAATGCTCAAGTTGTTAATATAAAAATGTTCTAACATATTATTCTAAATTTTTAGATCTCTTAGTATTTATTATTGTAAAGTAATTTTTCAGAAAGCAACTGTTGTTAAGATGTCCCTGAGGTATTTAAAAGTTCTACATTTTTATATTTTATTGCATGAGAAATTTTTAGCTGTTAAAATGTAGCTAATATCAAGTTGTATTTGTTTTATTTGTAATTTTTTTTTTTTTACAGGATTGTTACATCATCATGGAATGTAAATGGGCAGCAGCCACGTGAAGAAAATCTTGATGAATGGCTACATCTTCTTGAAGAACACCATGAAAATTTAGCTGATATATATGTAATTGGGTAATATTTGCCACCTAAGTTTTCTATGTTCTTGTAATTTTCTTTTTGGTTTTTAAATGAAATAAAATATTAAAATATTAGAACAATCTACATTATTATAATTGCAATGATAATGTTGTATTGGATTGTTAATAGTTATTTAATTTAAATATTTATACATTTATTATAAGAGAATAAATTATAAGTTTTTAAATGGAATTAATAATATTGGTTAATTTTATAAAAATAATAATAAGTTAATTTTGTAAAAATAATAATTATTATAATGATTTATTCATTATTTCTTAGTGTTATTTTTAATAGCTTTTGAAAATAATGATCTGAGCATCTCAAGAATTCCTTTACTTTGCATCTTGCATGAGGATAAAGTTCATCCATTTATAAAAAAACTGTTGTTGATCCTAACATTTTTTGTTTTGATATACTATATAATCTTTCTAAAATTTAAAAGCTTGGCGAACTTATCTACTTATTAAACTGTGTATTTGTATGGGGCATTATTCACAATAATATGCGCAGCTGCTTCACTTACTATTTTAAATTCACAAATGATGTTCATAGTTATAAACTTAGATCTGTATCTTATTATAGTCTCTCTATACCTATAAAACAAACACATATTTATAGGATTAGGTCAGTTAAATATTAATCCATTTACTTTTGGAATTCTTTTTCTGTTGAAACTAAGAAAATATTCTCTAAAATGACAAATAGAAATGCCTTCATAACTCATGTAATCTCAATTATCTATTGCAACCCATGTAATCTCATTGCAACCCATTTATCCTCAATAAAAATAATCAAGCAACTATCATTTATGCAATTGCCCCCTTTTAGTTATTCTCTATAAATAAATTTTTTAAGTAAAATAAAAGTGTAAAACTCTTAAATAAAAATATAAATCTCATAAAATAGAAATAAAAATATAAAACTCATAAAACAAAGATAAAAAAATAAAGTTCTAAAAACAAAACTTAAAAAAAAGAGTATAAATATTCATTTAGTCACAATCAAATACCCTCATTTTCATCATCCTGTAAAGTTATGGTTGTAAAGTTTGTGGCATTGTTGTTAAACGATATAACATGTAATATATAAAAAATAAACAAACTATTTTCTATGCAATCGCTCCCACTTAGTTATTCTCTATAACTAATTTTTTTATTTTAATTCTTTTTTTATTTTTATTTTAATGCATATATCTATGTTTCTATTTCCTAAAATATTATGCTTAAAAAATTCTGATACTTAACAAAATTCTCCTAGGACTTCTTTGTCTTTGATTCTTTTTTTCATGTCATTAACTTCTCTCTATTTTCTTTTAATCTTTTTATCTGTTATATATATATTTTTTATTTTGCATTATTATTAATGATACTCATTACTTGCTACAAATGTTTTATTTTGAATATAGTAGTAAAAATAGGTTATACTGTTTTATATTACTGTATTTAATATTATTTTACTATTTTATTGTTATCGTTATTATTTTTGTTATATTATTATCATTATTATTATTACTATTATTATTATTAATATTATTATGCTCTAATTTCTACCATCAGTCTTCTCTGTTTAGCCAGCGCTTTCGCGCTTAAGTCTTTTTGCGCTTGCCCACATGCCCACAAAAACTTTGGCGAGCGAAAAAAACGCTTGCCAAAAAATTTAAAAGTGATTTGTTTTAAATTGCAACAAAACTTTTTTTTTCCATTGTTCAAATTTTATTAAAAATGGCTATTTTACCAGTTTATTTTTTAAACTATTTTATCTGGTATTTATTTTTTAAACTATTTTATCTGTTTAAAGCACTCTTTTTGATGTTTTTAATTTAAATAGCAGAAAAAATTAAATTTATTAGATCACGCAGGCAAACTTAAAAATGACCTTCTTGCCAGCGCTTTTTTGTGCGCTGGCTTTAAATTTCAAACAGATAAGACTGCATCATAGGTCTTTACACATCATCAGTTTATAACTGCTTGTAAATGTTAGTATATATAAAGCTACATAGTGGTAATATGTCTGCTTTAGATTGCTACTAAGTGCTACTTTACTACCATACAGATATATAAATTGCTAGCTGGGTATATGGTCACATTTTTATAATCTGTGTTTTAATCAATGTCTTATTTTAACTCTAATAAAATGTGTTTTAAAGTATTGATTGTAAAAATTTTTTATTAAGATCTTTTGCAAGGATCTAAATAATGGAGAACCTACATTGGTTTAACATTTTGGTCACCTTATTCAAAAAACTATGTTTTCTGTTTTATCTTAAAAACTAAAATTTTATCTTAAATTGTATTGTCTCATATTTATTAATCTAGTTTATAATACTAAGTGTTGTTTTTGAAAATTTTTCAAAATCATTATGTCTAAAGATATTGACAATATTTACAACTTCTGAAAATAACTTTTATGAAATGAAAATCTAAAGGTTAGAGTTGAGGCATATAAGTAACATTTATCCCTATTTAAAAATAATCTATGAGGACTATGTGATGTTGTTACAGAGAATGATTTGTAGTTCTACTTAAGATAAGTTGGAAACAATTCCGCTTAAGTCAGTTGTTTTGGTGAATGTGGTTCTTACAAACATGGCATGTCTTACATTATTAAGACATGTCATGTTTGTAAGAAACAGCAGGTATTGTTCATATAGGATATGTATAAAAGGGTATACCATTATCCGCCAATGCCGATAATGGTATACAATGTCAGAAATTGTTTAAAATCAGTTATACTGAAAATAAATCAGCAGAGATCAGAACTAGGATTCAAAATAATTCATCAATTCAAAAAATGTTTAAATTAATAACATGCAACCCTTGGAATTAGGAAAAATGAGGTCAATCTTATTAAAATAGAAAAATGACCTCAATCTTATTAAGGGCGGCATCAGGTCGGCAAAAATTATTTGATACAAAGGTCTGACAATAAAACATAAAAATGAGGTCGGCAACTTTTTGCTGACCTCAAACACTTTCAGGTCAGCATTTAGGTCAGCATTGCCAAATGCCGACTCTAATTCCGAGGGTTGTAACATGATACTTCATTCTAATATAAAAAAGCATCTGTTTAACACTGAAAGTTGTTTTGCCATGATTAAAGATAATTTATTAAAGTAAAAAACACATTCTTTATAATTAAATTTAAAATTCAATTTTTAAGATTTTAATTCTTTTTTTTTATTAAGCCAATGTCACTACATGCCATTACATGCCATTACATACCAGGTCAGGTCAGGTCATGTTTAAGATCATTATTTTTAAAAGAAAAAAAGCAAAGAGTTGTGATGGGTGTATACGTATCTCTATGGCTTGAGATTTTTAGTAACGTGCCTTTGTTTTTCTTGATATTCGTAAATGATCTACCATCAATTATTAATTCCAATTGCAAATTATATGCAGATGACAGTAAACTAATCAAAATTATAAAAAATGTTGAAGATCATGAATCTTTGCAGAATGATATCAATGAATTTGTAAAATGGACGGATATCTGGTTGACAAAGTTGAACATCAAAAAGTGCAAGTTGATGCATTTAGGTAAAAAGAACCCACGAATGAGTTATTGTATGACCCACAATGGCAAAGAGCACAAATTAAAAATAACAGTAAGTGAAATAGATTTAGAAGTGATTATTTCATCCGACCTTAAATGGCATGATCAAGTGACTTCAACGACAGCAAAAGCACAAAAAACTTTAAGTCTAATTAAACGTATGTTTACATTCTTCGATGTGGAAATGGTGAAATCACTGTATACGACATTAGTGAGACCACATCTTGAGTTTGCTATACCTGCATGGCAGCCTTATTTACAACGGGATATTGATGAGTTAGAGAAAGTGCAAAGAAGAGCAACAAAGTTAGTTCCACAACTTAAAAAGATTTCATATGAAAAAAGACTGAAAGCAATGGGTTTAACAACATTGGGGAAAAGACGAGCTAGAGGAGATCTTATACAACAATACAGGTTCAAGCAAAATATAGACCAAATAAATTGGTACAAAAATCCAAAACCGGCATCATCCGTGACTAGTTCAGGCCCAGCTTTTTCTGTAAGGGGCAATAAATACAGGTTAGAAAGAGAGTACGAACCATCATGTTTACCAAGATATAATTTCTTTACCAATTGAGTTTGTAAAATTTGGAATTTGTTACCAAATGAAATTATTGAAGTAAGATCGCTGAATGCTTTCAAAGCGCGAATAGATAAACATTTTTCATAACTTGTGTTTTTTTAAATTGTGTGGGCTGTCTATAACCCGATGCTTGCATCGCGTTCCAAAATTTATTTTATTTTTAAATATTTATATTTAAACGAATTTGTAATTGTTACAGCAATAAATATTACTATTACTATTTACTACTATTACTATTACTATTATGATCTGACACTTGTAACATGCAATCTAGTAAAATGTGTCTTGTGTTCTGCTGCCTTGTAGGATTTTGTTTTTTAAATAAAGAGTAGTCTTTAAATACCCTTATTTTGAAGATTGATTGAGTAGTTTTAAGACACCACGTGAGTTTCAGGCTACAGATAGTGTACATATAGTGTCTGTTATATAAAATAAAAAAGACTTAATTGATGAACCGAATATTTTTGCCTTCACCTTTTTATTTTTAATCATAAGTTTTTGGTAGTTTCTCCTTTTTAGTAACTATGTAACTATTTTGTGTATTTTCTAATGAGGATACATCTTTAAAACTAAGTTGAATGATTCAGGGTGTTAGCCAGGAAAGAAATTTATACAGTGTTTTCGCGATATTGGGAATTTAGGTGCAGCAAAATAAGCAACAAAAAAAAAATTGCATTCTGACATTTAAAAAATAGTTTAAGAAAATTTTTCACATAAGTAGAAAAATTAGACATTTTTTTTAATACACTAATATACTTGAAATGATTTTTTTTTAGTGGGTTATATGCATAGCAGGAGTATTTTTATATTTTATAAATGTTAAATTGTAAGTATTTAACTTGTTTCATTCTTAGCA